ATCGGGTGCTCGGAACCCTTCTGTCCGAATTCACCACCCGGAGGTTATCGCTCATGGGGCTGCTCGGGTTGCTTTAGATCTACAGTTTAGGGACTCGGGTGTAGGGTGTAAGGTTCTGGGCCAGGGTTTGGGATTTAGAGTTCGGGGCCTAGGGCTTTCAATTTCGTACTCGTCCATTGGTCACCTTTTAACTTGCTTGGAATGTGAAGCTCAACATGAAGCAAATGGTTAGCCTTGGCGTAGCCCTACATACAAATTGGACAAATCAGGACAACGAAGATTTCCGGTTAACAATTGTTTCCGTCAGTAATCAAAAAACTTTCAAGGCAACACGGTCCCATACCAGTGTTAGGCCTATTGCCTGTTTTTGAAAGAGCTTCAGATCCAGAATCATACCCTTCCCCAAATGAGCAGAGAGCCCCAACATAACCACGGAGAAGTCTACATACAGTTCCTTGCGGGTTCCATCTTCGATTCGGTGGAATGTACGCCCCCGAGTGAGGCAAGCTTTTTCTGGTTGCGATCGTACCGAAACCGGAGTCTTAAAGTTCCTCCCGTGGCACACGCAAACTTCGGCAGGAACAAGATGTAACTCGGAGGTTTTGGAGTTCAGGGTTCTTGGGTTTGGGAGCTGAGGATCTAGGGCTTAGTGCACTTGTGACTTGCTCAAGGACTTACAGCTTAGGATGCTCATCAGGATGTAGGTTTACACGCACCTGACCTGGAAGCTTGCTTCGGATTCTACACTTTCTGGAGCTATGGTTTTTGGGGGGTTCAGGTAGAGGTTCCTACACAGACGTTTACAGGATCCGCCCCAGAACGCCATAGGAACCTTCTTGGAAAAGACGGTACTCTGGGTAAGGTCTTTCTTTGGTTTCCATGTCAGGTTGGGGAAGGTGAAGGCAAAGCATATTAATATTCTCTAAGAATGATGTAAGGTGGAATTTTGTTTTTGGGGTTTGGTGAGCGTCCTCCCAGGTGAGATCTTTGCAACAGACCCCAACCCTGCTGCCAGATATCCAGGACTCTATGGGCATTCCTGGTGGTAATAGGAGAAATCGAGTTCTTCCCGGGGTGTAGAGATGGAAGCTTTGAAGTATATTCTACCAAATCCTTGAAGGACACTCCCGCTCCTGTGTGATCCCCTCTGTTTGTGCAATCCCTGAAGGTACCTCATTTTGCAAAAACACCTAGGTACAAGAGTTTTGAGGTATCCCGACAGTATCCTGAAAAACTTGAAAAAACGTTTTCCCATTTTGCAAGAAAGAAAACCCAGGTACTTCATGCGCGATAGGCGCGTGTGGTTCATTCAGAACTTCACGGATCGCTTCTCGCAGCCCGTGCCCAAGGAACCTCAGACCCAGACCCAACAAATGGATCTTTTTGCAGCAGACTTAAAATAACCCCTATACGTTCCTTATGTAGTCCCCCATATGACTCTTGTCGCTTCAGGGAGTTGGGGATGTGAGGCAGTCATGTTTGGTGTCTCGGGTTAAGAGTTCTAAAGGGTGCTTGGGTGTAAATTAGGATGTATGGAGTTTTCCCGGGCTTGGGGCCTACCATCCGCCAAACGAACACCGAACCCCATAGTGAAAGGCCAATTTAAGCAGACAGTCGTCTACACAGAGCCACTTTCTAGGGTCAATTACAAGGCTACTATGACATATAATATACTATCATATACCGTAACATACCATGATATAACATTATATGCCATACCATACACACTTTGGGGCTGATTACTTTTGTCTTGTCTTGATTACTGCACTCCATGTGGTTCTCAGGCTGAAGGTCCTTTTGTATACCCCAATGGCATAACGCGAATCCCTAGACCCTCGATCCTAGGATCTCCGCTAAACCTATAACTCATAGAAAATGTTCATAGTACCATAACATCCCATGACATCATTTGGGGCTTCGTCCACCCTTCCACAAAAGTTTCTGTATACCTTTACTGTAGTAAGAACAAGCACTTCGCATGCAAGTCATTGTTTTGCAACGAAAGTTTGATAATTGCAGGTTCGCGAGCAGTTGTATGTATACTAAGCTTGCACTGAACTTTGCTAGAGTTCTACTGGCGGGTGCCTCTACCCTCCTCATAAATGGCTGCCACCCTAAACCTCAAACCCCCAAGCCTTACGTGAGTGTGCTATAGTCTAAACTCCTCAAATTGAATTATATAGGGGACTACTATAGGGGTTATTAAGGGGAATGCTAGGAGTTTAGGTTATGGCTCATGTAAACCCTTGACTCCCTGAAAGGATGACTACTTTCCGGCAGCGGCGTTGCCTCATGACTTCTTCCAGGGAGACATCGATGCCTCCACAGGGCAATGGAAGAGCAGCCGCTACCTGATTTACTCCCAAGGCCGGACTTAGGTAGGGGCGGAAATGACCAAGATCATCTTGAGGATTAAAATTTGGAGGGACCCTATACCCTAAACGAATTATGGGACAATAGTATTGGCAGTTATTTAGGCTTCTACAGTATGCCCCCACGAGTTTGGGGTTTACGGCGTTTCATTCCACTAGGGTTTAGAGTTTGGGGTTTGGGCCTAGGGCTTAACCCTAAACCCCAAACCTCGTGGCTCTTTAGGATTCAGGATTCCTTCCTCACTTGCTGAATATTTGCGAGATGGCCCCGAACAGTGGCACTGGATCATTCCGCTGATCCTGTTTTGGGGCTTGGTAATAACAGAGAGTATTCCGAGGAACCGGGGATTATTCTGAAAAGACCTGCTCAGCAATTCTCTTGCTAATACCAACAACCCCCCATCCAAAAACGAATATCCCCCAGTCTAGTATCATAAAACGAGGGACTGTTTCTTATAAACCGGGTGAGAGGTTTAATTTACGACTCCGGAAAGCGGCCTGCATGGGAGGTGGTTCCCAACAAGTGAACCAACCAACAGTGAGCCTTGGCGCTGAACTCCAAGCTATGAACAACCCTACACCCCAAACCTTAACACTAAACCTTAAACCTTAACACTAAACCCTACACCCTGAACCCCAACCCCTGAGACCTTCACCCCAACCACTACACTGCCCAAACAGGCCAGGGAAGCGAGAACGACTGTGCCGCCTACGGTGTCAAACCCGGCCTACCCTGGCAGTTCCCGGACTTTTTTTAGAAAGTTGGGTTTAGGGTCTAGGCAGGCTCCTGTTGATAGACGTAAAGCTACGGTGGGAAACCCTGTTGATTGCCGTATGTCCTCATCATGATAACTTAGCTTCAGCTTTCAAGCAGCAAGCTGCCTTGTTTGTTTGGAGTAGCCTCTTTGTGATCCCTGATTGGCGAACCGATACCTGTTGCTCCAGTACCTCTATACCCCTTAACCCTGAATGCTGCTCAGAGTGTAGTATATACCCTATTATACTATGGTAGTTTCCATTTTATCTTCCATTATCCCAATATAACCCCAATATAACCCTAATATAACCAGGTTCCTGGAGCTCACTGCCGCTCTGGAGATTGCGGTTGGGCTTCTTTGGCTTGTTGGAAACTCTGTTGAGTAGCAGCAGCATGTTCGAGGGGTAGGCTACCGCCCAGGTATAGAGTAAGACAACGTTATCCTTCTCCGCGTGCTTGTGATATTCTTGAAAGTGGAGGTGAAAGTGAGGCTCAAGTACTGCCTGATTTCAACCCTAAGCAATAGGTTCCACCGCACAAGTTAGTCTTTGGGCTCTGCTGGAGAAAAAGCTTTTAGCTGAGATCTCTGCTTCATAGAGAGGTATACAGGGCTTCTGGTTCTCGTACATGGGAGTATACGAAGTTATTGCGGATCAAAAAGGGACCACCAAACAGATGAACTTGCACTGCTCAGGTGGGACGTTGTCACCTTGCTCCTCCTACAATCTTTATCATGCCCCCCTTAAAACCTCAACTGGGTTGCTGTTAGGGGACGTGGATCTATACTAGTATAAGGAAGCCACTTTCTTTATAATACGGTACCTTACATCACTTACATCAAGTGGCAAGCCCTTGATAGATATTCCGAGTATGATCCTTGAGTGTCTCGCGGCTAGCGGGAATATTCAGTACTGAGCGGGGTGGGGGGGGGGGGTCCTTGATTGGGGCGGGGAAACCCTAGACCCTAAACCCCACTGGTAGCCCTTAACACATGCCTTCCGCATATTCCAAGGTTGCCCTAGAGTACATCTCCCTACCTGAAGAAAATTACATGGCCCTTCATCCTCAAATGCAACACATGCATGTAACATGCTACATGCGTGTCATCGGGTCAAGTGGTTGTATACCCCAAGGAAGGTGTGCAAACTATTCACCAGCCATCTTTGAACAGGCTTTTGAGAGATGTGGTCCAGTTAGAGGACCGACCTGGTAACGAAGGGCTACGTCGTCCAGGATAGGTAGTTGCTTGACCTGAAGCCCTTGAACCGAACGCATCCAAGGCTTGAAGCCCCACATGACATTTCCCATTATCCCAATATATCCCTATATCCCTATGTAACCCTATATAACCCACCGTAAGTCCAAACCCAACACACGGAATCAGCAGAACCCCCTCCATCCTTGACTCTCAAGCCCCTACCTGAGGATAGATGAGCTATAGTCTAAACTCCTTCAAAAGGGTTATATAGGGGATTATATAGGGGCGCATTACATGGGCTATTAGGGGGGATACTAGGAGTTTAGACTATAGCTCAGATAGATCATGGGGGTTCTCATGCAGGATTCTGGAGGATTACTGTTGTACAGTTAACGTCGGGGTCTAAGTATGTTCCATGTCATGTTCCACGTTCGTTTCCAGTTGAGTCTCCATTACCGGGGGTAATATTCCTAAACCCCCAAACTCCAATCCCTAAGCTCTATCCCCTAAACTATACTCCCTAAACTCCAATCCCTGAACTGTAGGACTATAGAGTTGGTAATTATTTTTCGGTTTTTATCCAACTTCTGAGAGATTCCCTAAGTCTCGGTCACCTGGGAGGCTTGGTAGGCGGCTCATCCTGCCTAGCACGTTTGACTGCAGCCTCTCCCCCATGTGGAGGTCTATTGGGGCAGAGTTTAGGGTTTAGGGTCTAGGGTTTCGGGTTTAGGTTTCAACTGGTTGGGTGTGTTTAGGGCTCAGGGTTTAGGGGTTCAAGTTGTAAGGTTTTGGGGCTTAGGGTGAGGGCTTAAGCTGTAGGATGTGATTTGGGCGTTTCTTGGTGGAGTTATGGCGGCATAGGGTTCGAGTGTAGTTAAGGTCGAGACTTTCTATGGAACGTAATTTGAATAATTTGAGTACAACTGTTAGAGGTCTCCAAAAGTGCCCTTGATGAAATCGAGTGTGACGTATACAGGTTGTCTTTCACTGAAGGCCCTATATGCCCAAAGCCTAGACCGCTCAACCCTGGGCCGTTTAAGCTTTGGGGTATGGCAACCCGAAAGAGTAGGAATATGATCCCCTGCTATCCTCGTAGACGACTTATGGTTTAGGGCATTTCTCAAAGAAAGGGTACCTTGGAGACCTTGGTGAGATGTAGGGATTTTAGGGAGACTACTAGTGAGGGTTTCGGGTTTGGGGTTTAAGATGGTTTAGGGTTTAGGAAACTTTGTGTGAAGTGCTCGGCGCAAGGTTCTTGCTCAGGCTTCAAAAACGACGTTGAGCAGAAGAAACACCACCGAATAAGACCGCTTGGAGTGCGCAAATACGTGATATGTTGATTGGAGGGTCCCTGACATCACTGAATTCTACAACCCCGGACACCCTATCCACCTAAACCTCATACCTTGTATAAGCCCTGAAGCCGGAGCTCCAAAGCCTAAACCCCAGCGTGACATGGAGGCCTTACGGCATGATGAGGACTTTCCAGACCAAGAGGGAAGATTGCACCTTCGAATCTAGGATGTCAAATTTAGTTGTTGTTCGTCATTGGCTTTTCTAGACCCCAGCCTATTGTAGCCCCAACATACTGTGAACCCTAAACCCTAAACCCTAACATACCTATGGTAACCCCAACATACTGTAAATCCTAGACCCTAAACCCCAACATACCTATTGTAACCCCAGCATACTGTAATCCTTTGTATAGGTTCAGGGTTCAGATGACATGTATAGCCCCTAGATGAACTTCAGGGATGATGGTTTGGGCTTTAGGGCTGTATATGAGCCATAGTCCAAACTCATTAAAGGTTTAAAAGGGGGTATATGGGGGAATTATTTAGGGGAGCATTATATGGGATATAAAGGGGAATACCAGGAGTTAAGACTTAAGCTCATATGTGGTGTGTCGTTTTTGGGGATAGCACATACACACAAATCCTTCTCGATTGTGTAAGCGTCATTCCCATAAGAGTGTAAGCCTTAGTCACTGACTTCAATGACCCCGGGCCATGTATAATATGTATATATATATATGTATGTGTATATATATATACATACATGCCCTACATATTTCTATACCCTAAACCCCAAACCCCAGACCCCAAAGCAAGCTTGGCCATCGACCTTGCAGACTCAAAAATGCTTACCCTGATCCTGAAGCCCTGAGCCTTCGACTCAGTCTAGGACTACTTTGCTGACGCAGAGAGCTTCGTGAAACGCTTTGGGTCTCCTGGCAACAGTAGACACAGGCTCTATGGTCATGGATTTTGGGTTGAGGGTTTGGAGGTTAGAGGGTGCATTTCAACTTCCTGTCAACAACGCCCACATGCTGCCTAGGACGCAAGTGTCCCGATAACATGATCTGTTCACATGAAGTGGCTTGAACATGTTGCTCGTGAGCCAGTTTTGCCCCTAGAGCATGAGTCCTACACAAGCACCGAGAAGCAAATGTGCAAGTCATTTCAAATCCAGTCTCTAGAAGGCTCCCCCCAATGCCGTGCAAGAGCGTCTGCAAGGCATCTACTAGTGGAGTCCAGCTTTTCGAAGACTGCGGAGTATGCAAAGCTGTCAAGGACACCTGATAACCTGACGCTGGGCTGCGAGGGTTAAGGTGTAGGGTCTAGCTTGGAGAATCAAATGGACAGAATGGAGAGTGATATGGACACTGCGCATATACAAGGGTTATATGAAGGGTTATATTTGGTGGTCAGGGGCTTTTAGCAACCCCAACCCCCCACAGTGGGACCTAATTCCAGGCACATGATAGCTATGGGGTCCTGATTTGGAGGTTGGGTTTAGTATACTGACAGGCTTGGCTCCGGGTGTGAGGATTTAGGCTGGGGGAAATTCAGATTTGGGAAGCTGGTGGTTTCCATAAATTGGGGGAACTCAATAATTATTAGCAGATCCTCACTATTTGGACCCCCGATTAGGGAACCCTACAATTTTGGGAAGCCACAAAGTGACCCCCATAAACCCACAACCCCAAAGCCCAGGCCCCATGAGTCGCCCCTAAACCCTAAACCCTAGAATCCTAAAACTCTAAACCCTAAACCTCAGCGTCTGGGATCTAAGGCTTCCGCTCGCAAGACTGGGCATTTCGGTGGTTTGGGGCCTGGGGAGTCCTCTGGGGACTGTTCCGTATACTAGGTTTTAAGGGTTTAGGGTTTTTAGGTTTTTAGGGTTTAGGGTTTAAGTGCCAAGCCTTCTACAGATCTTATACCCTGAAGTCTAGTCCCTTCTTGAAACCCCAAACACTGAACCATCTGAACCCCAAACCTTCTTCTGTGCAGCCCAGGACCCTGCAGCTGCTGTCTGTCAGCACCGATGGATCTCCTCCAGTCAAGCTTGCTGAGCTCAGGCGGAAGATCGATGCAGATGTCCTGGTGGTCGGAAACTAGCTTTAGAAACCAGTATTCAGGATCTACAGTCTAGGGTCTTGGATTTAGGGTCTAGATTTTAGGATTCCAGATTTAGGGCACGAGATTTATGAAGGGATTTGGGAATTCCGGTCTACCTACGGCTTCATGCTAAACGGTTTCGAGTTATTGGCAACCTGGCCGTTGGGTCTTCGGCTGGGCCCTAAACCCTAAACAAACCCTAGTATAAACCATCATCACCCTAAGAACGTGGCTGAGGAGAGGGAGGCATACTGGGAATGGGAGATCTCTTCCGACGGAAGTTTGGCACCGAGCTCCGCCGAGCCCTGTATCCCTGCCAGTGGATCCTAAGCTGCGCAGATATTTTAGGATTTGGGGTTTAGAGTTTAGGATTTAGGGTTTAGGGTTTAGGATTTGGGGTTCAGGATTTGGTGTGAAGGGTTTGGGTTTCGGGCTTAGGGCTTGGGAGCTGTAGTCCAGACTCTATAGAGGGGGCTATATAGCTAAGTACTATTGGGGTTATCAAGGGGGATGCTACGAGTTTGGACTATAGCTCATATGGTGTCTGGGTTTAGCTTCTGGCTTAGCAGTCACTCAAGATGAGCATGCTGGCGCGGCCACCGCTCTTGCCACATCGGTTGTTGAAAGCTTTTCAGGCTCCCCAAACCCTAAACCCTAAAGCCCCCTAAGCCCTAATCTCACGCCCTAAGCCCTCAACCCCAAGTCTTCAGCAAGCCATGCAAGAGGATCGAGTTCGAAGCTTGGTTCTACGCTCGTCGCCCGGATCAGGCACCTGCAGCTGGCTCCCGGCGCTGTGGGGTACAAGGCGGGGCGGTGTTCAAAACAGTATATATGGGGGTTAAAACGGATAATGGAAAAGAAAATGGAAACTACTATAGTAATAGGGGTAATACAGGGTTAATAGTAGTTAATAGGTTCGGGGATGGAGCTTCGGCTTCAGGTCAGGCATTATTCTAGGCCTAGCATTCGGGTCATGGATCAAATTTTGGATCCTGAGAATGAGGGCCCTGTATCGAGGGTGAAGAGACGAGGACCCCCATGAGCATGAGATACAATTCTGGCCCAAGGGGTCCGAAAGCTGGAGGCATAGATATTATTCATTCTGCCCCCTTGAACAGGTTCCTTTGGACTGTAAGTAGTGTGTCTGCCAGCTGAAGGCACCGCGCTGAGTTCAGCCTTTTTGAGGCATGTCATTTTTGAGAGTGTCGTTCTAGGTCATTCGTGTGACCACCCTCTAGTATGAAAACTTTCCCATACTGAATATTCCCAATATTCTACCATTCTACAGTCGGGAGGATTTATGATTTATTTTGTGGCGGTTTATTATCCGGACTCTGCCGACAAGGGATCGTCATAGTATATCCTACGTTGCTACAGCTAACCTGAAAGCCAGAAGCCAAACACCATGTCACCCTAAGGGTCCAAGTACCTAGGGCCGAAATTCCTATGTAGGAACCCATTTGGGCCTTTGAGTACTATGACCCTTAGGATGATTATAACCTATAGTCCCCCTTAAGTAGATAGAATATGGGGGTATACGAGCATCTTATTGTAATAAACCAAAAGCCATATTCTACCTAATTAAGGGAGGCTATAGAAAGAATTTGCAGCTGGCGCGCTGTCAAGGATTAGACTGTTGCGCCGTGTATCACGGCTGGGCAGAGAAGCCTGCAGCTCAGACTTGCTAGGTAGGTTATAACTTGCTTAGGGTTTAGGGTTTAGGGTCGTGGAAAAGGAAATGGAAACTACTATAGGGGCTGGGGTTTAGGGTAGTAAAGGAGAACCAGATGGAAAAGAACATGGAACATGAAATGGATACTTACCTTTGGTTAGCTAGGAACGCAGGAATGGAAAAGAAAATGGACACTACTATAACGGTTCATATAGGACCTACTATAAGGATCCATTCCTTCATTCCAGGCTAACCAAAGGAAGGGTGACCCTAACGTCGGAGCAGAGTTGAAAATAACAGGTGGCTTATGGTTACCCTGTCATGAGAGAATCTGTAATTTGGTGCGGGCTTGTCAGAACAGGCCCCTGAGATAGACAGGGATGCCTACGGGAGTAAAGGGGTCTCATTCAGGAGTCTCCATGTGTAATATTGGGAGATTTTCAGACAATGTGCTAACATTACTTAATTAAGGGCCATAGGTACTTGTAGAACCGTAGGAAACGCCCATACCCAGAGTTTCCCATCTAGTTCCTTTTCTCAACACCAGATTACAATTCCCTACAAAAGCCCATAACGAACCCAGAAATGAACTACACCCTAAACCCTAAACTCTAAACCCTAAACCTATTACATAGGAGTTCTTTCGTATGTTTCAAATGCCGACAGTCGAACTTTCTGGCATAACTTGGGCTTATCACTCCTGCTCTTCGATCTAATTGCCTCCCGCTAAAAAAAGGAGGTATTTTAAGTGTAGTATGTACCCTGTATATGTATATGGGGGTTTCCCAAAATTAGGGGTACCCTTTTGGGGTCTCTATAATAAGGATTATAGTATTTAGGGGTCTATATTGGGGTTCCTTTTTTTTATTTGGGAAACTACCATATGTACATATATAGATTATATAGATGTACATGATCATTGATTGGGGTATACCCCATACAGTATGTACTCTACATGCACTTCAGTAGGTTAAAATGGGGGAGGGATCTGCCTGTCGGTGATATGCAGCTGGTGGTGGGTCTCGGGCGAAGCCTTCCCTAATGTGGACCGTATAGGCCTTAGCAAATGTGTTCTTCCTTGATTGTTGTTATACAGTTTTGGTATAATAGACCCCAAACACGTACCTTACATTAGGCAAAACGGTTCTGCTAAATAGTAGCTTCCCCAGTATCTGTTCCATTATCCATATATACAAACCCTATATTACCCCATGTACTTATATAGTGCCTATATAACCCATATACCCTTATATGCGCCAGCATCCACCCCCCCCACCCCCAATGGTATGCCCCCGCGCCTGTGGCCTGTGGTGTGGTTCTTGTCCTGTGGTCTAAATTAAAGCCTAAACGAAGGTTTAGAGAAGGTTTATTGTATTTGTAACGGGTTCGTAACCACACCCCCCTCGTGGTGCTGTGGCCTGTGGTCTGAGTCTTGTGGTCTAGTTTAAGGTTTAGAGTAGGTTTATAGTGTTTGTAGAGGGTTCGCCCCCGCCCCCCTTTGGCTTGTGGTTTAAATTAATGTTTAGAGAAGGTTTATAGTGTTTGTAGAGGGTTCATAAACTCTCCCCCCGTGGTCCTGTGGCCTCTTGTCTGGGTCTCGCGGTTCACCTTAGGTTTATGAAGTTTTTGTAGAGTTTTTATAGCAGTTTCTAGAGGGTTTTGAACAGTTCATGGAGGATTTCAAGAAGGTTTACAAAGGGCTGTAGAAGGTTTATGCAAGATGACGACCAAGCTGATTAGTGACTGTGAGTACTTTGAAACTGAGACAACAATATGAGGTGTCNNAAAGCGATGACAGTTGCGAGGATAGCGATGAGGATCACCCTGATCCCTGTGCGTGTTGGCACTTTTGAGACGCGACGACACATGGGCCCAACAGTGACAACAGTTACGAGGAACTCCGAGGGGTCAGGGGTCCCATCCCTGTGACCGTTGACACTTTTGAAGCAACTTGTTATCCTGAGCCTTGCAAGAACCAATCTTGCCTAGCATCATATGCTTAGCTGCATCAGTGCTGCTAGAAGAATTTGGTTGCACCTTACCCTCATGACAGCTCATTTTGTTGGAGAATGACGGTGCGCTTTCAAGTTACCTGGCTGCCATTTGGGCAGCACGGGTTCAGTAAGAGCGCAAGACGCACAAGCACGGCTACCTGGCTGTCGCATGGTTTGCAGTGCCTCAGTTTCAAGCAGAGTGTGACAACCATGCACAACTGCGCTTTCAAGTTACCTGGCTGCCATTTGGGCAGCACGGGTTCAGTAAGAGCGCAAGACGCACAAGCACAGCTACCTGGCTGTCGCATGGTTTGCAGTGCCTCAGTTTCAAGCAGAGTGCAACAGGTGATGGTGCCGCCTAGAGGCCCCACAGCAAGGTATGAAGCAGAGCGCTGGTTAGCTGCAGCTGCATTTCCGAATCCTGAGAAGGGAGGGACCGTGAGGATATGGTCCGTATCACGCCCTGCAGTGGAGGCCTGCAGGGTACGACTGCTGCGGTCACTTCACAGTACAGTTATACATCTTCCAAGTTAGACAGTTAGACACTCAAACTTGACCAGATTAGGCAAGTTACAGTAACCCTCCACCCACAGCAGAAGTTCCCGACATTGGACCTTGAACCATGAGCCCGCATAAATCCCAGGTTGGAGTACTTGACGGACACTGCCTGGGATCTGCCTTGTGACTGCGGAGCCGTGAGCTTACTCTCTCCTTGGGACTTAGCTTGGACCTTAGACCCTTAACCCTGTGGGATTACCTTGTATTCTTATTATAGGTAATTAAGGGTTAGCCCTTAGTAGGGGTCCGAAGTGCCACGTAGCTCTGTGCAAACAACGGCTTTTCTTGCCCGTACAGAAGAGAACTTGGGGTCTGTTGCCGTGCGTGCTTTAAGTCACCCGTACATCAATCAATAGTTTAGCGTGATCTCGTGGAACAATTTCACCTCAAACTTCCCGACGAACCTTTGTGAAGGGACCCAGCCAAAGTAGAAACCCAAGCCCCGTACATCCCTACATCCCCAATTATCCTTATGTAACCCCGTCGATCCTTCTTTTCCAATGAAGCCCCAGCGAAAGTTTCTGAGATTGGTGCCGCCCTGGGCTGTTTGCCTCGCGACACTGGCGAGTGCGCACACCAGGAATGCCTGCCCTGGGCTGTGGAATGGGCTTGGGGTTAAAGGATACTATCTGGGCCTTCTGGGCAGAAAAGAGAGGGAGCTACAGGGTTACAAGCAGAAATTTGACAATGTAGGGATCTACAGGGATACAAACAGTGTAGGGATGTACAAGTTTCGGGTTAAAGAATTGCTGCGGGAGACGAAGCTAGTCTTCTTAAGCATGCATAACCTCTATGAGTCAAACAAAGCCTCAGCCAGCATCATTAAATCTAAGTCTTAACCTACTTACGACGCCCCACGGACTCACCAAGTGGGGCTAGCATGTAGGGCTCATCCTTTGACAGGTTCGGTGTAGTAAGATTGGCGTTTGAGCTTTGGGTTCTGGGATTTGCCAGGGGGCTTCCTTCAATCAATCTGAAGAAGACACTGAGGCTCTGATTTTGAAATGGTCTCAACGCGTGCAAGAGTTGTCTCATCATATTTCTGGAGGACGTAGTTCCACCGTTAGAGCACTCAGTATATGAGCCATAGTCTAAACTCCTTAAACGGGATTATATAGGGGACTACTATAGGGCTTATTAAGGGGGATACTAGGAGTTTAGACTATGGCTCATATGAATTGTGCTACTGTGCCACTGAAGCGCGAGCAGCCGCCAGAGCTGCAGGCCCAGACACGCCCTCAACACGTGGAATCCAAGCCCCCCCAGCCTTGTAGATTTGATAGCTCCCTTAGCCGAACTTTGCTTGGCATTTCTATTTCTCATGATTGTCAGACTTTGGCGTGAGATTGTGTTTTGAGCTTCTGTCGCGTAGATACGTTGCGTGATTTCCTGCATGCAATTAGCCGCTGGCTTTGTTTTCCTTGTCGTTGACAAGATGTTCTTCCATACTGTAGAAACTCCTTGGGACTTAGCTTGGACCTTGGACCCTCAACCCGTTGGGATTCCCTTATATTCCTATTGTAGGTACCTAACGGGTCCTAAGCGCCATGTAGGAAATGAGTCTTGCCTGGCGATGGTGTCTTTTTCGTTGATGCTGATGTAGCATTCCACGCTTGTGTCCTTCATCACACTTAGCCATCGTCACTGTTCAAGCGGAAGATAGCCCTATTGTGTCATGACCCCAGAGGAGTCTTTCCGTTTTGTTCGTTTCATGCCTCAGAAAGCAGATAGGTTGAGCTTATATGATGGCAAATGATATTCCTGCGTGCTGCTCATGGTCTGAGCTCCTGAAGATGATAATGATCCCTGTACGATTCCTAAGGGGGCCTCTCATGTCTTTACACGCCCCTTATATCTGTGGCGTCCACAGATGCTTCCACTTGATGAATTTGATTCATCACATTATTAGTAAACTGTACTTCAACTTAAGATTCAAACCACGTTGGACACGGGAATCTTCCCCTGCGTCCAGCAGGGCCCCCTATTTCGAGAAACCACCTCAAATGTTTGTCCCATGCCCACTGTTTCATGCCAGGATGATCGCGAATCGGCAGACGTGGACATTGTTGCTGGGATGCCGCATGTCCTCATACAAGGTTTTGCATTCCAGCAATATGCATAAAACCTAGTTCATAGCCGGCGTTCATGAGTGTAGGGCTGCTAAGAAGCAATTGTCTTCGCCGGAAGGTGTGTTTTTGCTTGGGTCATCTTGGCGTCCAATGGGAAGATGACGGTCTGCATTTTCGGAACAGTAGCAACAAAGCCAGATCGCGATAGCTGCCCGAAACACTGAACACTAGACTCTAAATCCTCAGACCCCGAGCCCCCCAAACTCTACACCCTACCCCCAGGCCCTAAACGTGCAGACCCCAAAGCCCCAAACCCATCCAGAACCCAAAATCCTAAACGCTAAACCCCAATCCCTAAAACCACCAGGCTGCGTTCCCAAGAGGAGCTTTGAGCTGGGGGAAGGTCGAGAGGGAAGAATCAGATGAAAAATCAAACGGAATAAGGAAAATACATTGGATTCATGTAATCATGATATTCCAGGACCTGACCTACATGATTTCCATTCCAATAGGGCATATCATATGGTTGTAAAAGACGGTCTTCAAGATGAAAGAATGAATAAATGTCTACATATCACGGTAATTATTTTTAAATCTATTCGTATCAGAAAATAACGAATTACGGGCCCCATATTTACAGCACTCCTGGTTTGAGTTGTTTTGGTAAGGTGAAACACCCTTCATTTGATTACCATTATATGCTGCATATTATGTATATGCAGATATATCACGCTACATGAAATACATATTAAATAGGATATAATTCATAATGGAATATTGGTAGGATATTTTCATATATCTAAAACTAGGATTGAATGGTATGGCTATGAAGGCAATGGACCAAAAGGCCAG